ATACTACATTGTTCCATTTTATATTTAAAAATCGCGATTCGCAGTTCACTTTTGATCTGAAACATTTAATAATGTGAAGCTAAATCGGCTAATCTATACCCGAAAACCTAATGGATCCGTCGTAATTTAACTATTATGCTCGAGCGAATGTAGTCGAACAAGGAATCAGAAGTTTGAATCACTTACTCGGCTCGTCGACGTCGCCAAGGAAAACTTCCGCCGCGACAAACCAAACCATCGTGCTCATTACTAGAAGCATCCCCTTCATCCTGGGACTTTATGCGTCCGAACGAAGGACGAGTAGTCCTGGCAAGTCCCCTGCTCGGATATCTCCGTCTTTAACTCCAGGATAGCAAGTTGCCCGAGATGGCCGATAAGTTCCCAGGGAATCTAATTCTCTGATAGCTCGAAACTCCGCTTTCAGAACCGATTCTCGCCCCCTCTCTCCCTTCCTCTCTCGTCTTCTCGACAGCTACGTACCCGTTGTGGCACGCCGTCGCGCGAACTTCACAGTGCACTCGCTACTTTCCTTGTAACTTCACACTGCGGTACCCGTAGCTGCGAACTTTTTTCATCAACCGGATGACACGAACAGCGTCAACGTCGACGCTGATAACTGATCACCGACCTAACGATGAGTAACCGCGAATAATCCTTTATAATCACGCCCGCGCGTCAAAACTGACGTACGACAACGCATGGACGTGGATGATTCATTCACGAAACGGCCGTGGAAGAATGTGTCTCGGCGAGGGGTGTCCGTGCTTTTTTTAAAGTCCCACCCCTTCTCCGCGCGAAAACGTCTTCGCCGTTATTAACGGAGCTACTCGATCGTGCCAGTCCTACACTCCGCTCACGGTCCATTAACGCCCGCTTCATACGCGGCTACGCCTCACATGGCTTTCCGTCATCGTTCACCGATAATGACATAACGCCGGTCTTTTTTAGCTGGCTCGCTAGTTCGCGTGGGACGTCGAGTCCGTTGCGATACAAATAGACGCCCTCGACGATGTCGCTGACGATAACGCCGAACCTAACCGATGTCATTTAGGATCCATCAGATGCTATCGCGTCGTAGGGTGCGTACGCTGTCGTCAGAGCCCCGGCTTCATGGTACATCATAACGCGTTCGAGTTGTTTCACATCCGGTGAGAACTTACATCCGATGAGACTATTTCAGTAGTTTCCTCGCGACGGAAATTACTCAAGTGAAACTAAAGACTTCCACCTGGGAAATATATTCACATCTCGCCGACCGGTCGGTTCTATCTTCGTTACTTTTTAAATAGATTTATTCTCTTATGAGTCCGAAGAGAATTTAATGATGAAACGTTAGATTCGGTCACTTTATGTATTTGCGAGATACGTCACAGGATAATTAACAAGAATTTCTTCTTACAATTTCGTCCTTGACTAAACATTTAAATCACTGGTCTTCGAAGTAGTTCAGGGTCGTTCACTAAATTCTTATTCACAATTAAGAGCTTTATCGAAACGCTTGAAAGTCGAGGATAATCATTTCTAATAAAGTATTCGATCGTATCTAATTACACTTGATTACTCAAACAGTCCCAGCTTTTATCCTCCATTCATCACGATTACGTTGAACTTTAAGGAGAAACCGTGCGGCTGCATTCTAGTAGGTCCACAAGAGATCAAAGGAGACACGGATTCAAAGGTGACCACACTTTGATTGATTAATTCACGAACGAGGAGGGACGAGATGTCGACAAGTGCAAATGTGGAAAAGGATATCGATGGGAAATTCGTGGAAAAAGTTGCGTAGTCTCCACACGTAGTGGAAGGCGCGCTCACTGCTGCGTTGCGGCAGGCCTACTGACAGGGGTAACCGAGTGTTCGGTTCAACTCGGTACGATTCGTGCAATTTCGCCACCCTCCGACGGCAGCTTAAAGCATTCTCCGACCACTTTTCATACCCCCTCCTACGCGCTGTGATCACTACAGGCTATTCCCCTAGTTCAACCCCCGGAGAACAGACAAATGTTAGAAAACGGGCGAGAACCTCGAACGTCGTATTTATTATTCATTCGTTATCTGGCTGATCAGGAGTGAACGTTCAAAACCAATTAAACGAGCACCTATGATAGATCGATTCATTATTTTTTCATATTAACGACGTTCGTCAAAAATAGAAATTAATTGGGAATTAAATCCGGTACTAAATTGGCATTTTATCTGCAGATTTGTTCCTTAGCTTGGGTTAAGTCTATATTCGCCGTTATCTCCACGCCAGAAAGGTTTTAAGCACTTACGTACACCAAAATAAGTGAAGAAGAGGGTTGTAAATCGAATACATCTCAGCATGAAATCCGTGACATAACGCTGAGGCTGGAACTATCTAAGACGTGTGTGCACACGAAACTTCTCATATAAGTTGCACCTTGAAACAACTACAATTGCGCATGCAAGTAGTACGAGGCGACAAGGGTCAGACAAATCTGTTTTCAGTTTGTCGCCGGCAAGCTGACTACCGCAATCTGCCATGCGGCTGTATAAACGTTACAGAAAAGGACGAGACTGTCTAATACGCGAATCTCATTCGAGGAAAATCGGCGGAGTCTCGAATTGCGTGCACCAGATTTATAGATTACATCGAATTATGCATGTTGTTTAAGATTTTAAATAACGAGAACTTTTATGGTGCCATTCTTCAGGTGCGATGGTTCGCGTGTCTAAGAATTCTAGTAATAAATTTACATGCAGCATATTAAGAGCCACGTCATAAATTCGTGTGAGGGAGACGAAAGAAAATTTCACTACCGATGATCCTTCAAATTATTGTTCTCTTAATCGGCAATAAAATAAATCTTATAGCTTGTAACAAGTATTCTTCAAGTTCTTAAATTCTTAAATACATTAATTTTAATCTCTTTTTTAATATTCCGCGTGTGATTTGAATCCTTTTACGCATGAATGAGCAATCTTTTAATCGGCAAAGCTTTACCCGATGTCTGAATTTTAGCGAATTCGAGAATTAAGGCGCAATTATGTAGAGATTGCACGATAACGTGAGATAGCTACCGTATCACCCTCCATCGGCATTGAGAAGAACTTAGGAGCCCCTGAAACGCTCGGCCGATTTTTACCAAACTTTTCACCCGGCCCCAGCGTTTGCAACGCAAACATGGGGCTGCGGAAACTATTAAAGCGCGGTAGAAAGTATAAAAATGGATTCGTACGTCTCCGAAATGTTGCAATATTTCTACAGGAGGGAAAACTCGCAGCCTCGACCCCCGGCGACTGTCCAAACAGGCAGCAAGCTTTTTTCCCCCGCACGCGATGGAGAAAAAACTTTCGCGCCTGCAATTGAAAGCCGTCCCATTTGAATGTCGAACTTTCGAATGAACATGTTTATAAATATGTATCGCGCAACGCTTTCTCGGCTTTTGTCTAGGGCGACGAGCGTGAATCCGGCAAACGAAATGACTTTATTCCATCCCCGTTTTTCCTTATCTTTAACCATGAAAAGTTGCCCGAACGTAATCCCTATGAACCGTTAAAACTTGTTTATTGAATCACGTGAGTAGTACATTTCTTATCTTCATCTCGACTTCTTACTATTACTAAATCTCCCCTTCGGAATTAATGAAATTCTCAGGGTCCGCTTCACAAGCACAATAAATGACAACTATATTTCACGTGTCACGCTAATTGAATTACTAAAAATCGCAAGGAAAAAAAATCAGATGCTTGTTCTTGTGATAAAATCTAAACATGAATCACCGAGGTTCCTAGTCGTTAAGGGTATGCACCCTCGAGAAGCCCTCACGAAAACTCGAAGAAAAGGGGAGACGCGACTATCGATCGCGAGGAGCCCCTTATCCCCCGATTATGATCCGTTCTCGAGCCGGTTACAAAGACTTTCGTTGAATGAGATAGGGAGGTGGCACGTTCGTCACAATTACGACGATGTTACTAAAAGCCTGGGAAGGTCGACAATGGGGTCCTCAAGTAGCAAGTTTATTGCTTCCGCAATAAGTTTCTGGAACGCGTCCTAAGAAAGGGGTTAAGTTCAAAATACACACCGGCGAAACCGTGGCCAAGCTGCTTTGGAATTCTAACAATAACGTGACTCCGCGATATATGCTTGTAATTTCGTTTTGATTTCGATACTAGTTCCAAGAAACGGTCATACTAATTGCGCAGCAGGAGATCGAGTTAATTTTTTGAATCGTTAATGTGTACGCATTTTCTTTTATATGCTTAGAAAAATAAAGGCAAGAGTACGTTTAATCGATTTGATTATTTCTGCATTCTTTGCACCTGATTACAAGTTCCGGTAACTGTATTATTCTTCGCGTTATAGTTTTTCGTTTCGAGTGAGGAAGAATAGTTCAACATTTTAGAAACAGATAAATCTGTCTGAACGCAGTAAAAGATTTTTCATGACATTAGCAATTCAGTACGTTGGACCTACTAGCAACGGCTTTTGAAAAGCAGTCCAGATGGGACATCGGATTTGCTGACACGAAATCTCTGTTCTTGGATTTCACCTCTCGTGATCGAGCGAATCTAGAGTCAAGGTAAATATTGAGATCGCGATGAATCGCGTGGATCACTCGGTTCCGTTTGTCTAACCCTTTCGTACTACGATTTTTATTCCCGTCATTCGAAAGCAGTTTGTTCTGAGGAATTATACTGATTGTTAGAACTAAGTGCATCAAACACAAATATAATATATTCCAATTAGTTTTATTCTTTGCACAAAATTAGTCGAAAATATTACATCCAGTGTACGTGCACATAATCAGTGATCATGAATCTTTAATTCAACAAAAAAAAACCTAATTACAAGTAAACGTATTTAACAGTATAAAAAATAAGAGAAATTATAAAATGAAATGTATCTAACATCTAACATCATTATATAAATACTTTTTCACTTCAAGGCTGTCATTTTCACGTAGATACCATGCGTCGGCTGCAAGAGGAATAATGCTCTTTTATCAAGCTCATACGTCATGCAAGTCTTCTCGCAAGGTTCAACTTTGAATTTTGACAGAATTTTAATTATTGCCACTTTCGATTGGTTCTTGGCGAATCTGGCACCTAAAGAGAAAATTATCATACTCCATTGTACAACTTGAAATGATTTTTTATAAAAAAAAATAATGACTTACCAATGCAATTTCTTGGGCCGTCTCCGAACGGCAAATAGTACATCGGATGTCTGCCCGTAGCGTTGTCACCCGTAAATCTTTCAGGATCGTAAGTTTCTGGATTTGGAAAAATTTCCGGATCCCTTTGAATCGCGAAAACAGGTAAAAATACTTGCACATCCTTTGGGATTGTAACTTTCGTGTCCGAGAACGTGTAATCGGACATCGATGTTCTCGAGAGCCACAACAGCACTGGATATTTCCTCAACGTTTCTACGCGAATGAGACATGTACAAATGAATCTTATATAATATGAATATCATTTTATTGCTGGAAGTCGGTTTACCGTACCTTGGAAACAAGCATCCAAATATTTCATTTCCCTTATACAGTCGTACGTAATCTTGCCGTTAGTCTTCTCTAAAACTTCCTTGATTTCTGCACGAACTTTGTCTTGTATAGTTTGATTCAGCGCGAGTTCATACAAAGTATTCGCAATTGTTATCGAGGAGGTTTCGAAACCAGCAGCGAAGAAGACGAAGGATTGTGCAGTTAAAAACACATCGTCAACTTCTGTGCAAACGAATGACAGTCTTGTATGTAGGTAGAGCGGAAGAAAATAATATTAAATATTCCGAAATATCAAGTCGTACCTTTAAGATTAAGTTTCCCTGGATTTTGTTTCAAGTCTACTAAAACGTCAATGAAGTCGTGTCTACGCACGTTGTGCTTAATCCTATAATCGATAGTTTCCTTAGTGATGTTCATGAAGAAATTTATGAGTTCGTGGTCGATCAAAAAGGGGCCTAGGAATTTATGCAGGAATGGGTAATCCCTCACTCTGTTTCTGATCGTGCCTTTGAAGCTGGATTCGAAAATTTTCTTGCCCATCTTGCGAAACTCGCTGTCTTCAGCCTTTAGCGCGTTCACCTCGATGCCGAACGCGCAGGAACCGATCACGTCGGTAGTGAATTTCGCAGAAACGTCGCGGCACTCGACCAGCTCGCCTTTGGCTACCACGTCGTCCAAATATTTTTCAAAGAGATCCGCGCACTCTAGCAACAAGTGAAACATCTCCTTCAACTTTCCCGAGGTGAAGACTGGCGAGAGCCGAGACCTCAAGGGCTTCCATCTCTCCGCTTCCAACCTGAAGAGGTGCATTGACAATGGTTCCATCTGCATATAAAAGCGTGCATCGATATTATAACAGCATTAAAAAAAAGAAAATATATGTAATACAATACTGCGTGGCTTTCTTTTTTATATGAAAATAAATCGCCATTGAGAAATACAATAAATTATGTAAACAAGTTAGAATTTTTAAGCTGGATTTATTGTATCATTATAATTAATACGCATCATGCAATGCTGTGCAAAATATTTGCCTTTCTAATTTCGTCTCAAATTGCATGAAGATAAATCTTTAAAAAGTATTGAGTACGGAATTAATCATTTGAGAGTATCAACATGATAAGAAAGATATCAAAGAAGTTACATAACATAAGATAATGTACAGACACCCGTGATTATCTCAGCATACATATATTCCTATAAGTATGTAACGCTTGTGCGAAGTTCCTGTTATGTAAATTTGCCTCTGTGTAGAAAACAAGTCATTGCGAGGCAAATCATTAGGCATATTGATGAGTACAATACAAGTGCTCTAGATATAAGTGTAATATATACATATTTGTATGATGTGATGTAAGTTTTCTATTGTATATAATATTACAATCAGTATTTTAATATTTTATATATAACTCTTCTAGAATAATAAACAATAAGAAATCGAAAGTAAGGATACCTCCGGCGTTGGTTTGAATGACCTGTCGACGAATTTTGGAAAATCTTTAATAAGAACATCCTTTATCAAGTCTGGGTTCCTCAAAACCAAAATTGGCTTGTGTCCTGCGTATAGTCCTACCATCGACTCATCTCTGTAGTTATAATATGCATCCTCAAGGACTTTACTGAACGATATCTTTCCCAAAAACACATCCTTAAAATTTCCCCATAATAGGGAAGGGTTTGGTCCACTGACCCCTCGCTTCTGCCAGAACGCTAACTTCGACACGAAATAACGATAAACCAGGAATAATACTGCGGCAACGAAGCCAAGCGTCTCTAACACTGGCCAAGACATTGTTTTTAATTAAACTTTTCACTGCTCTCAATTTACACTCCACATAAATAAAAAATGTTTTAATAATAGAAATAGAACACTATAAAACACGTTTCTCGTCGCATTCCTCTAAACTGTAATCATCTTTCCACTCATCCACAATTACTGTTAAGTTCTGAGGTCATACTTGTAATGCGCCAGTCTTTCTCGATGCTGCCGCTGTTATAGTCAACGCCAATGTTATTCATGACTCAGCTGAAACTATAATTGATGTGCGGCAGGATTTATTGAGATAAGAAGCAAACACCTCATATACTGCAATGTTTGACATTTTTACGAAATCTATCACGTCATATATTTAAATAGCGATAATAATCGTTATGCCATTACATCGATCATTCTTTTGAAGATCACAAAGATCTAATCAAAATTGCGTCAGAACTATTGACATAAAAACTCGTCTTGTACATAATAAAGAAGTGCATCTCTTAAGATTCCAAGACCGTAAGAGTCTCGAATTCAATGATTTATTCATGATGTTCATTCTTTTGCATCAAGAGAATTGTTCTCGTCTTTTTTTGGTTCTAAAATTGAAATGTTCTCAATTCAATTACTACGAGATAGCAAACGGAAAATAATATATTAATTAGATTTTAAAATTTTATTCGCGTGTGCAGTAGAATAAGCGTGTAATAGGTCAGATGACTAATTGTATTTTTGTTAAGAAGAGATATTGATGGTTGTAACGCAGATCCACAGAGAAGTGTTTCAGTGATACGCTATCTTCGAGAACAAACATTAAACTCTAAATTATCTGAACTCAAGATAGAGTTTATAATTTTCTAGCCCTGTTTCCTTTTACGAACCAGTATCAAGTTTACTACACTCTCAGGACTGTACTATATAGACTTTTTATATCATTTTTATACGACTAAAAAATGAAATGACTGGAGACTTCACAAGTTTTATTACCAAAGAGAGTAAATTATTGTTGCCAAAAAAAAGAGAGAATAATCGAAACTTCGTATTTAGAGTAAAATTTCATTTTTTATGCAAAGAGAGCTTAATGCAGTTTAGTCGTGGGCTTTAGATATTTGACATTTGCGAATGGTAAATAACGTTCAGCTCGGCACACTGGGTATATCAAAGCGGGAGCGCGATTGGTCTTGTTTGTCTCTGTGTAGGCAAACAAATCGACGCTTTCTCTCTGCTCATTCGGAGCAGATGTTAAAGTTAAAGTGAATATACAGCGTTGATGAACGCTATTTATATTCAGCGAGATCGAGAAAGCGGCGGAAGAGTGGCTGGGAGATGAAGGGAGAAACAATCGCGTCTGATACGCAAAAGCGAAGTCGTCCTTTGATAGTTTGACAGCGTGTTCGTTGGGTAGCTGTCCTTTGATAGCTCGCCGCGATACCGAGCGTACAAAATCGTCTATCATGAACGCCCTGATAGGTTCTTGAATAATTTCGCGCCTTGACTTTCCCAGCTCGTGACGAATTTCGTGTGCCTCGCTCTCATTAGCCGAGTTAAATACTTGACAGGAAGTCGTTTGAAGCCTCCACCATACACCGTCGTTTCTGTAGCGTAACAAATTTTATTCAACGTATCCTTAAAACGTCTGACATATTAAAAATTACAATAATACAAATTTATTTACATTTTCGTTTAAATTGCGTACATATTTATTACAAATATAACTTTTATATACTTTTATAGCATAGATAATTAATTGAAATCAAATTAGGCAACAAATGTTACATCTTATATACTAAAAAATTATAAAGCATTAAATAGATTTGAACAATACTAACAAAACAGATATATTACAAACAAAAAGACGAAATTACATTTTACAGTTCAATTGCATTCTTGGCTACAACTTATTTATAATCCAATTATGTTTTACAAATTTTGAACACGAGAGAGAGAGTAACAAAAGAGAGGAGGACATGTTCAAAATTTGTAATTAGACAAATAATCAGAAAATAATAATAATAATAATAATAATATAGTATGTATATGATGTTAAATATTCTTAAATTATTTACCAATCTATATATGTATTGCTTCTTCTTCAAAAGAAAGGGACGCTTTCTACGCCTCCAATTTGGTCACCTTCAAGTGTATTCCGTCATAAGGCTGACAAAGGAACAAATGGATCGGGTCGATTTTATATTTCAACCGAGTTTTCTCACATACTTCGATCTTATATTTTGATAATATCTTGATAAGTGCTACCAATATCTGGTTCCTAGCGAATCTCAACCCTGAACAGAACATTATTTCATTTCACTTTGCGATTACTTCTTTTATCTGTAAAAAGGACAGAGGAGCGTTTATCTTACCAATACAATTTCTGGGACCATCTCCAAAGGGTATGAAAGTCATTGGGTGTCTGGTCTTCTCTTTGTCGTCCGTGAATCGTTCAGGATCGAAAACATCCGGATTTGGATAAATGTCCGGATCTCTTTGAATTGTGGAAATAGGTATAAAGACCTGTTGGCCCTTTGGAATGGTTACTTTCGTTCCCCGGAATGTGTAATCGGTCAACGCGGTTCTGGATACCCACATTATCACTGGATACTTCCTCAACGTTTCTAAAAACACGTTCCATCGTACAAAATATATTTTAACAAACAAGAATTCTAACACTTAATTATATACTTAATTACTATGCTACATGCGAGAATATTACGTGTTTAACAATAATAATTAAAGAAAGAAATAGCAAAAAGTACCTGCAAAGACTCCGTACATGTAATTCATTTCTTTCAAGCCCTCGTACGTAATCTCGCCGTTAGTTTTCGCTAACACCTCTTTAATTTTAGCCCGCGCTTTCTCTTGCACCTCCGGGAACAACGCAAGCTCGTACAAAGCGTGAGCAATAGTTAACGATCCATTTTCGAATCCGGCAAGGAAGAAAACGAAAGATTGAGCTGCGAGGAATATGTCGTCCACCTCTGAAATCATAGACCATAGGAATTTCAACAAAATAATTTTTATAACAATGAGAGTTTAGTTCTGTATGATATCATATTTATTGTATCATGCATGGTATCATTCTGTATCATATTCGAATGACATGTATCCGTTTCTTTTTTAAATGTAATACTCTTACCTGCTAGACCATGTCCCTTCGGATCTAGCTTTATCTTAGTTAAAACATCGACAAAATCGGGACTGAGATTCTGGTTTTCCATCCTGTATTTCATACCCTCGGTGGTGATCCTTACAAAGAATTCGGTAGTGGTGTCGTCGGCTAGGAAAGGTCCGAAAGTTTTAAATAGCAGCGGATAATCCCGCAATCTATCCATGAGGTACATTTTGAAGCTCGTTTTGAGGGCTCTTATCCCCATCCTGTGGAACTCGCTGTAGTCCTGAGTAAGCGCATTCACCTGAACTCCGAACACGCAACTGCCGACCGTGTCCGCGGTGTACCTCGCCGCGAGCTGACGAAACTCGAGGGATTCGTTCCTCGAGGATTCTTTTTCTAGGAACGCGTCCAGCTGATCCGCGCATTTTGTCATTTTACCGAACATCTCCTTCAGCTTTCCGGTGGTAAATAACGGCGAAAATTTGGTTCTCAGAGGCCTCCACCTCTCCGGTTCCAATCTGAACATTTCCTCCGATAAGGGCTCGACCTACATAACAACAACCTCGATCAATAACTACGTTCCACGTATTTAGTTGACGATCAGGATTTTTAAGATAAAATTACTTACCTCTCGTGTTGCGTCTATCGTTCTGTCGGCGAACTTGGTGAAATCCTTGATGAGAACGTCTTTTATCAAGTCCAGATCCCTGAGTATCAAGTGCGGTATATGGCCGTTGTATATTCCAACCATCTGTTCATCCTTGAAATCATGATACGCTTTCGTGATGCAGTCGGTCGTCTTAATTCTGCCTAAGAACACGTCCTTGTAATTGCCGACGAACAGGAGCGGCTTCGGACCCTTAACGCCTAATCTCCGCCAGTAGCTCAATTTCGACGCGGAATAATAGTAAAGCAACAGTAATATCGCGGAAATTAAACAGAAGGCTTCGATCATCGCCATATCGATCGAAGTTAAATCGTTTTTCCACTACAAACACTACAAGACAAAGCGTTCCCGAAAGGAGTCTGCAGAATAATAATTAGGATTGCGTTGACTCGGTTTTATCCGAGCTGTTCTACCCGAATAAACAAGTTAATTTTCGATAAAATGTAATCTTTTATACGTTCGGTTCGCAGATCGAGCAGAATTATTCCGGGCACCGTTGTTACAGAGAATGCCAGCTTGCCAATACGATTTGTGTCTTAAATACACGCAAGTTTATCGTACAAGTTTATCAAAATGTACAGTGTCCTGGTTAAAGACATACATATTCTCAATTTCCGTTGCGCAATTTTAGCATTCATTCAGCGACCACCAACCGAGAAAAATGTTCGTAGTGCTGACGGCCGTACATCAAGGCCGACGATCTGCGGGTGTGCTTAACGATCAGAGAGTAGCGTAAAAATCTCAAAGTGGAAAAATTCAATCGTCTCAGACTCAGACTCCCAATAACGACTTCAAAAAAAAAGCAGGGTATTTCAGCGGAATTAGATATTTACATAAAAATCGTAAAGAGAACGTTTCGAATTTTTAATAATATTTTCTCAATTATAATTTTTGAATAAATCAATAATTTTTAGGACTCACCAAATTCTATTTAATAAAATTTCAAATGATATTCGAATCAGTCTCCATTTAAGTGACTGTTTTTAAATTTCTGTGAAATCGAATTACGTTCAAATTCAGATTGATATTAAATACTCTTTTCGTCTAATTAAACTGACTTCATTCGTAAATGGAATAGTCTTAGTGAACGTCCAGCAACAATTATCGTGCATTTCTGAAGTCTCGAGGTACGTTGTTAAAGGGCTATGCCGAAGAATTTTTAATGAACGCTATTTATATTCAACGAGGTAAAGTTGAGAAAAAGGGAGGAAGGAAGAGACAGCGACTCGAAGAATATGCATCTGGGAATGACTTAGACGCAAAGTCGTCCTTTGATGGTTTGGCAGGATGTTTGCTAGAAGTTGTCCTTTGACAGTACGCCACGGTATCGAGTATACAGAGACTCGGTTATGATGAAGACTCTGATAGGACGACTCGTGAATAATTTCCCCTTTCCTGACAGATTTCCTACATTCAAAAATATTCGCTCAATTTTGCATGAAATATCTGAAAACGTGCAAAGCCTTCGCGGTAAAAATTTTCTATTCATATCATCATTCATATAATATCATATTCTTATTCTTTGTCCAGTTAATTTTTAAAACGACACCATTTTTCTTAAATACTGAATTAAAAAAATTTTGTCCAATAAATGTTATAGAATTATATGTTTAGAATTTAGGTATATTAAAGAAATTCAAAAAATTTCGAACACTACTACAGTCTTGATTTATCATGTCTATTATACTAATTTTCCATGAATTTTCCACGTGACCGCATGTTTATCATTAACACATTGATTACAATAGTGTACCAAAACTTTTCTTACGTCTTGCTTATCTTTTGGACGATATTTAAACTACTAATCAAAACTATCAGACCACATGTTTACTTTATTTGATTTGATTGTGAAATTAGAGATAAATGGAACTACAAGAATTTTATTATTATTTCATGGCTAGGTAAAATAAAATATTTTATCTTACGATCGCAAATATTTTTAAATGATTGTTTTATTAAGCAGTGGAACAAATACTTTGTTGTTGTTTTAAAGCGATAGCTTTCTTTGATTAGGTAACGCAGTTGAAATGCGAAATGAATGCATTCTATCGTGTAAATCCAGTATTGAATCTGGATAAATCCAGTATTTGGTACACGGTTTGTGGTAACAGAAAGAGCACGGGGTTACACTATATGTCACAGGTCACTTTTTATTCTAAGCTTGTGATAAATAATCTTGTTACAGATTACATGTATTCAAAAACGTGCGTACGTATGACTGCAACTTAAACTGTTATAATACTTTCTCTTGGTCAATGATAATTTCTTTCTTATTTTTTAATCAATTCATAATGATTCTGCAAGTACTTATGGCGATTATTGCTTCTAGATTTTCATTCTAAAATCGTCTGATTATATTTTAAACTGTATTCGACTACTTCCTGTTTTCACAGGTGTTTTTAACGTATTCTTGGCTTTGATACTTCATGCGGCACAAATTGGCGTTGATACATGACATTATAAAAATGTTACGAAAAATGAAAATAAATTGCACAATAGGTCACTCTAGACTCTAACTGCATCTCTCATCTAAAGTTCAAGAACTTTTCGTTCGAGCCAATAGCTAACAATCTTTCTGATATCAAAATTTGTAGTTTAAACTTTAGTTGCAACAGACAAACTGTATGCATATTACATAAATAAAGTTCATTGATAGACGAATATGCTTATATCGTGTCAAAAACATCGTAGCTTAAAGTATTTAACAAATGCAAAACAATACTAATTTTTTATTGGAGTATTAAAAATGTATGTTGATATGCTGCACTATGGAAATTTTTACGTATTGCGTATAAACTTCTGAAATAACCGGTAATTACAAGAACGGTAAGAATAATTGATAAACATATTTGGAAACATAATTTTTACGCAAAACGTTTCCAGACAGATAGAAACGACGCATTGCAAGAAGTTTTGATAAGAACGTTTCCAGATTTGCTTTCTATTTATCTGAAAGATTACTTCATATTCATTCGACACGAATTATTATCACTCAATGGAATACTTTCCAAAATTTTTTTAACGCTTCTTTCTTTTTTTAATCGCCAGGGGGATAATTTGTATATACAAATATGAAAATAATTATAAACTCTATCGTATATCGATAAGATAAAAATAGGGACAGCGGCTTCTTGAGGTCAATGAGACACGAAGTATTGAGAAAAGAGCAGATAGTCTTACCATTATATTAACGTTATCATCCATAGACAGATAAAAATACGCAAATTCTAAAGGTTCATTATCAGTAAAATGTTTATTAGTTGCATTAAGTCGAGATAAAACGGATTGACTGAGAAAATCATCCATGAGATTACCACTGTTCTTCTGCAAAAAGAGCTATGATATGAGTCCGTAGCGTGTCATGGGATCTTCGCCACCCTTATGACAGTCCATACTCAACCACAGACGCGTACATACGCTGAGTTTTATTTCAGAGTTCGTGGAATTTTCCATACAAGTATTGTACTTTTATCAAAAATAAACATTTCTCATTTTATTTTGGAGTGTAAATAATAAATGTGGATCACATTATCTGTGAGATAAAAGTGTAACCGGTTCTATTTGGAAATGGAATTCAAGAACAAACATGGAGGGTTTCTAAAATTAAATGTATTCTATTTACCATTCATTGAAGTGTACAGAAGGAAGTTAAAAAATATACATTACATCCGAAATTCTCTCAGGACACTTAATACTGATGCACCGCGACTAGCGAACAGAACGGAATTTCATAAGCGCATTCACGGTTCTATCTTAAACATAATGCAGGCATCATTCAGTTCTTCAATGCATTCACTCTCTTCCTACAGCGAGAACGACGGCGTTACCGGAGAAGAAATCCAACAGGCGCGTTTCTTGAACAATTGAACCGCGTATCACGCAATTACGCGACCGTTATCTGAATGTCAAGGCGCACTGAATCGCTCCACCTTTTACCTGAGTTCAAGCAAGTGAAAATCATTATGAAGTCTAAAATGTACTCGAGAAATTGAAGAATCGAACGTTCAAGTGTCACGATAATATCATAAATAAAATTGAAAAAAGATTTCAAAAAGAAAAAGCGTATAAGTTTGACAATGGAAAGAGGTGATTTCATTCAAGTATTACCACTTTACATTTTATATATCATTCCCTTGCTGCAATAAATAATGATTCGTTATTTACGATTTGTATAAAATACTTGCTCAAACTTGCGAAATTTTATCTTTATCGTTAAAATTAAATAAAAGATCGTGAAAGTGTTGTTGATTTGAAATCAGTATATTAGACATGATCATCTTTTATAAAAGCAGCTTGTTTATGCCTTCTTTTAATGACCAGCCCTGTAGAACGAAAATCGATATTGTTCGCAACCACACTGCCTGTAGACATCGGCTTAACCCCCATCGCTTATGCTATTCGATAATAATCCCTGAAATACTTCGGTTCATTTATTTCATTTCTACATATGCGATTATAAATTGTACAGGAGAGAATTAAAAAGCTGTGGAGCAAAATCTTCCGATAATTTTCAGTTCCTGATAAAGAAAAAAATGAGATATTCCCTTTCGTAAGCACAATATTAAGAATGTAAATTAATTAATTTGCAAGTAAAATGTTACATTAGAAGTTAATGAGTTATTAGCAAAGTTTAATAAAAAAAAAAATAAGCTGCGAGTAATCCTGCGAAGAGTAACGAGCAATTGTCACGCGTGTATTCGTCTTCCTTCTCGTTTTAACGGAAGTGTTTGTAAATGGAAAAAAATGTGTGCGGCTTGCGTTCATTATACTGTCAAAGGGTGAATTGAGTTGCTGTCAAGCACCATTATTAAATGCAACGTGCAAACGTGTTGTGCAACATTGATTTTCTCTAATTGTCCCTTGTTCCTGGCACCGGCGTGGCTGACTTCCTGGAGAATCGTTACCATAGATTGTCCTCTTCCGTTCGAAATGGGTGAGAGTTAATTAATATACATTGTGTCGTTTAATTCGTTCCCCGTTGTTGCCACGTGCACGTAACGAATAAACTTAGGAGAAGCGAAACGAGTATCATGCACAAGGAACGATTCTAATCTGTGACAAACACGTAATAAAATTTGCAGCATTTTAATAAGTAAAATTGTTATTTCCTTAAGGGTAATTATAAGAATCATGGTTTAATTAATTCCTTTTCTCAAGGTTTTA